AGTCGCATTTCTGTGGCCCTGGATGATGGCTCTGTGCCTGGGGTGTGAGTCTCTCCCACCCCTCCTTGCTAGCCAGCAAGTGGCACTTTATAAACCTATGTGCCCGTATAGAGTCTAGACCAGCTCTGAGAAACCTCTCCCACCCCTTCTTGCTAGCCAGCAAGTGGCACTTTATAAACCTATGCGCCCGTATAGAGTCTAGACCAGCTCTGAGAAACCTCTCCCACCCCTCCTTGCTAGCCAACAAGTGGCACTTTATAAACCTATGCGCCCATATAGAGTCTAGACCAGCTCTGAGAAACCTCTCCCACCCCTCCTTGCTAGCCAGCAAGTGGCACTTTATAAACCTATGCGCCCGTATAGAGTCTAGACCAGCTCTGAGAAACCTCTCCCACCCCTCCTTGCTAGCCAGCAAGTGGCACTTTATAAACCTATGCGCCCCTATAGAGTCTAGACCAGCTCTGAGAAACCTCTCCCACCCCTTCTTGCTAGCCAGCAAGTGGCACTTTATAAACCTATGCGCCCGTATAGAGTCTAGACCAGCTCTGAGAAACCTCTCCCACCCCTCCTTGCTAGCCAGCAAGTGGCACTTTATAAACCTATGCGCCCCTATAGAGTCTAGACCAGCTCTGAGAAACCTCAGTGTGGACTTAACGCAGTCTCCCAGATCCCCCAGCCGTTTTGCTAGGCTGGTAAGAGTTTCTCTCGTCTTCTGCAGTTCTGGCGCCTCTCCAGGATTCCTGTTGGGTAATCCCAGTTCTGGATGCTTCACCAGGTGTTGGGCTTGTGAGACCGTGTTGGCACACGGCCCCTGATTTGGGCAGGGATCCAGGGGACACGGGGTAGGCTTCACAGCGGCCAGGGTCTTGTCAGGGCTATGTCAGAATTCCGGATGTGCCCACAGTCTTCCAAAGGTTGACAACTCCTGCCGTAGACCAACCCAGCCACCTCCGCACACCCCACCCCCACACACACACTAATTTGGAAGGTATTCCCGATCGGTGCCAGCGTGCCCTGGCGCACAGATGTTTAGGCCCCCGTCTCTCTACGTGGGGCTGCCCTTGACTCTGCTCCGGAAGTTGCAGCTAGTGCAGAACGCGGCAGCGAGGGTGTTGACAGCGACGCCTCTGCAGGCTCGCATCCACCCAGTGCTGCATGAACTGCACTGGCTGCCTACTGAGCACCAGATCCGTTTCAAGGTGCTGGTGCTCACCTGTAAAGCCCTGAGGGGGGAGCCCACCACCTCTCGAGGCAGCCGATTCCACTGCTGCACAACTCTGGCTGTAACAAAGTTCTTCCTGATAACCTTCCCGCTCTTAATTTAAACCCAGTCTTGCGAGCCCTTCTCTCCTCTGCTGCCCACAGGAACAGCTCCCTGCCCTCCTCTGAGTGACAGGGCCCTTCAGATGCTTCAAGAGAGCCATCCTGTCCCCACCCCACCCCCAACTGCCTCCTCCTCTTCTCCAGACTGAGCCTTCCCAAGAAGCCCCTCCGCCTCTCCTTGCAGGGCTTCTTGGTCTCCAGGCAGGGCCCCGACCCTCCTCCTCGCTCTCCTCAGCGCCCGCTCCATTCCGCCCACATCCTTTTTGAAGTGACGCCTCCAGAGCTGCACACATAGAATCATGGAGTTGGAAGGGACCTCAGCCAAAAACTCTTCTGATTTAATTTAATTTAATTTAAACCCGTTGATTGTCGTCCGATCTTCTGGGGCAGCAGAGACCACAATGCTCCAGGTACGTCATGACCAGTGCAATGTGCAGATCTTGTGATTTGGATGTTATGCCTCTGTTGATACACTCCAAGATTGCTTTAGCCTTTTTTGCCACTGCATCACACTAGCTGCTCATCTTTCACTTTTGGTCCACCCGTACCCCAAGATCTTGTTCACACACACACCGCCCCTCGGAAGATCTACAGATGAACACCTTTTGGTGGTCGCTGGCCCCCCAGGGACGTCCGACTTGCCTCAACTGAGGCCGGGGCCTTTTTGGCCTGGCATATGTCTGGTGGAATGAGCTCCCGGGTGAGACCAGGGCCCTGCGGGGACTTACTGCAGTTCTGCAGGGCCCGCAAGACGGAGCTCTTCCGCCGGGCTTTTTAGTCGAGGCAGCAGACGTCCCCCTCCTCCTGGTTGGCCTCCCATCCGTGCCCTGGATTCGAACGGCCACCTGGGGACCCACCCTCCTGTTTCATCTTAACTGCTGAGACATCTGATCAGACCTTGCGTGGGACTGTTTTGAATTGGTTTTAATTGTGACTGTGAATTGTATTAATATTGATGGAACCCGCCCTGAGCCTGCCTGCGGGGAGGGCGGGACACACAAGCCCAATAAAATAAATCAATCAGTAAAGAGCTTCAGTCACACGGGGGAGAGGCTTGTCCTGTGGTGGCCGCTGCTGCCCAGCCGACATATAAAAGTCACAAGTTCTCTCAAGAGCCGTTTCTGTCAAGAGCTCTCTCAGCCCCACCTGCCTCACAGGGTGCCTGTCTGTTGTGGGGAGGGGAAGGGGAAGGAGTTTGTGAGCCGCTCTGAGACTCCTCCTGCGGGTAGTGAAGGGCCGTGGGGTGTAAATCCAGTCTCTCTCTCTTCTCTAAAAAAATCTGCACAGCAAATCCTGCCTGCTGCCGGGGAGGGGGGGGGCACTGGACGTTTCCCCTGGGTCGTCCTGAGAGCCTGCAGGCCGGAGAGGGCTGCAGCTTTCCTCTTCAGAAGCCCTCAGCCGCATAGTGCCAGGGAGCCCGGAAGGCGCCCGCTTCCATGTGGGTAGATGCCGGGGGGGGGAAGGGCCTTTGCTGTGTGCCCCCCCCCCGTGTTTACGGGGCACTTCCTTTAGGCACCTGCTAAAAACATGCTTTTGCCGTGACCTGGACGGACCAGGCCAGCCTGAGCACCTCGGAAACCCAGCAGGGTCAAAAAAACAACAACCCCCGCATGGAAGAAGAAGAAGAAGAGATTGGATCCATACCCCTTGCCCGTCACTCGGAGTGTCAGAGTGGCTTAGAAACCCCTTTCCCTCCCCCTCCCCACAACAGACAGACAGACACACCCTGTGAAGTAGACTGGGCTGAGAGAGCTCTTTCCAGAACTGCCCTTGAGAGAACAGCTCTGACAGAACTATGGCTTGCCCAAGGTCATCCAGCAGCTGCAGGTGGAGGAGTGGGGGATCAAACCCGGTTCTCCCAGATTAGAGTCCGCGCACTTAAACACTACACCAAATAACACAGAGGCAGGCTGTGGCAAACCACTTCAGTTTGTCTCTCACCTTGAAAACCCCACTGTGACATGACGGCCCTTCCCACCCCCCCACCCCCACAGTAGGTTTATTTGGGGGACGCTCTCATGGTGGTTCTTTGTCCCTTTCCTGCTGGTTTCTGTTTTCTTCTGTTTGATTATCATGTTTTGGTTTATTTATTTCTATATTTCTTCCCCGCTTCTCTGCCCCCAGTGGGTATCCTGAGCGGCTGGTGGCATCATCCGGCCCTGCGAAGGGCGTCAGGTTGAGAGGGGCAGCATCTGGCCCGAGGCCACCCAGTGGAGCCTCCAGTGAGGCTTCCAGACGCGAGTGGCTGGCTCCCCCCACTCTGGCGGCCTCGGGAGAGGGGCCTGGGCGGCTGAGTGAGGGGGTGAACAAACATGTGGACAAGGGGGATCCAATAGATATTATTTACCTTGACTTCCAGAAAGCTTTTGATAAAGTTCCTCATCAAAGGCTCCTAAGTAAGCTCAAAAATCATGGGATAAAAGGACACGTCCTTTTGTGGATCAAAAACTGGCTAATTAATAGAAAACAGAGAGTGAGTATAAATGGGCAGTTCTCTCAGTAGAGAGGGGTAAGCAGTGGGGTACCGCAGGGATCAGTACTTGTCCACTGCTTTTTAACTTGTTCATTAATGATTTGGAGTTGGGAGTAAGCAGTGAAGTGGCTAAATTTGCGGATGATACAAAGTTGTTCAGGGTGGTGAAAACCAGTGAGGATTGTGAGGCACTCCAAAGGGATCTGTCAAGGATGGGCAAGTGGGCGTCAACATGGCAAATGGGGTTCAATGTGGCCAAGTGCAAGGTGATGCACATTGGAGCCAAAAATCCTAAATATAAATACACGTTGATGGGGTCTGAACTGGCAGAAACTGATCAAGAGAGAGATCTTGGAGTTGTAGTAGATAACTCACTGAAAATGTCAACACAGTGTGTGACTGCAATAAAGAAGGCCAGTGCTATGCTGGGGATTATTAGGAAGGGTATTGAAAACAGATCAGCCAATATCATAATGCCCCTATATAAATCAATGGTGAGACCTCATTTGGAATACTGTGTGCAGTTCTGGTCACCACACCTTAAAAAGGATATTATAGCTTTGGAAAAAGTGCAGAAAAGGGCATCTCGAATGATAAAAGGGTTGGAACACTTTCCCTATGAGGAAAGGTTAAAGCACTTGGGGCTCTTTAGGTTGGAGAAACGACGACTGAGGGGTGACATGATTGAGGTTTATAAGATTATGCATGGGAAAGAGCAGGTAGAGAAAGAGGTACTTTTCTCCCTTTCTCACAATACAAGAACCCGTGGGCACTCCATGAAATTGCTGAGCGGTCGGGTTAGAACGGATAAAAGGAAGTACTTCTTCACCCAAAGAGTGATTAACACTTGGAATTCACTGCCACAGGAAGTGGTGGCGGCTACAAGCATGGACGGCTTCAAAAGTAGATAAGCATCTGGAGCAGAGGTCCATCAGTGGCTATTAGCCACAAGTTATAGATAGGGACTCTGGGGCAAGTGATGCTCTGTCTTCTTGGTGCTTGGGGGGGGGGTCAACAGTGCGGGAGGGCTTCTAATGTCCTGGCCCCACTGGTGGACCTCCTGATATCCCCTGGTATTTCTGGCCACTGTGTGACACAGAGAGTTGGACGGGATGGGCCTTTGGCCTGATCCAACATTGGCGTCTCTTATGTTCTTAAGACAGGGGCCGGACTCCCCCCTGACGTCATCTCTCTTTTCCCACAGACCTGTACAACATCAGCAACTCCCGGGGGAAGGTGGCTGCCTTTGGCATCTTCAAGACGGTCTACAAGATCGGCGAGGAAGTGGTCGGGACCTTCAACTTCTCTGCGGGGGACATCCCGTGCTTGCAGGTGAGGCAGCCGCTTCTTCCCGGGGCGGGGTGGGGTGCCACTGCGGCAGGCGAGCAGGGTGGGGCTGACTGGGCCTCCGCTGTCCCTCTCCGCTAGTACTCGGTGAGCCTGCAGACAGAGGAGCGGGTCCAGGAGGCCTTCCAGCGCCGGCGCGGGCAGCCCGTCTCTTACAGCACCCACGCGCGCCACCAGGAGTCCTGCCTGCACACCTCCCGGACCAGCTTCAGCCTCCCTATCCCGCTCAGCTCTGCTCCGGGGTTCAGCACCCACATCGGTGAGTCGCTGGCCTGAAGGTCCCTTCCCTCCCAAGTCCTCTGGGCTCGTCCCCGGACCAAAATCTGTATGGGCTCCAGTGGGGGGGGGGGAGGGGGGATGTTTCTTTCCAAGGCCAGACTGGGTGCCTTCCCGGGGCACAAACTGTCGCACGTATCGGTGACCCCATCCAAGGGGCCGGCTCGGTAGGAGCAGCGTTGCCTCCTTGTCCGGTCCCTCCTCCGGCTGGCGGCACCTACCCAGGGGGGCTTCTCCCGAGGTGTAGCAAGACAGTTGCCCCATAGCCCGTTTCAAGGCCTCCTGAGCCCACGGATATATCAGGAGAGTGTTGTTCTCTCTGGCCGAGCCACCTTGGAGACTTCAAAAGGATCTACGGTGATAAGACCCGGCAAAAGGGGACAATGGTTCCGTGTTTAACCAGCAAACCAGACAGAAACTGTCATCAAGTTAATGATCTTTATTGGGGAAAAGACACAACTCTCTTTTTCAGGCAAGACAATAAGAAATAAGTGCAGGTACAGATTAGCCCCTAACATTTCTGAAGCATAATTGATTATAAAGTAAATCAGATTTCAAATCACTATCTCAGCGTGCTTTAGAAAGCCTTAGAAGCCCCAGTTCACGCAAACACAGAGGGATATCTCACCTGTGCGCTTTTAACGCTCCGCTCACAGTTTTCACAGGCAAAGGGACACCCCCTGTCTTAGGGCAGCCACTGGAAGTTTGCAATGTGGTGACGGCTCCACAGATGGGTGATCGGTTCTCAGTGTGTCTCCATGGAGAGTCGTAGGCAAGTGTGCTGAGATTGTATCTGATCGTGCTCAGGCAGGATTAAGAAGGCTACACTGAGCACTTTATGAGTCATTAAAACGTGAGAATCCTCCTTTTTCTTCAACCTCAAAGATAGATAAAAAGTCCTGGACCTTTCCTGACCAGCTGGTGAACTTTCTACAACAGCTGTGAGACGTGCTTGAGTCCAGCGTGACAGAGGAGAGGGGCCCCCACCCCTGACACTCCTGGGCACCCCTCCCTCCCTCCCTCCTCCAGCCCCCAGCGTGGAGCAGCCACAGCCGTCGTGTGCCCTCCCCCCCCCCGCTTTGGCCCGTGGGGGGTGTCTGTGAAGGATGTTGGGGGGAGAGGGGCCGTGGCTCACCTGCAGAGCCTCTGCTGGGGATGCAGAAGGACCCGGGTTCAGTCCCCATGAAAGACCTCAGCCGGAGACCCTGGAGAGCGGCTGCCAGTCAGTTCAGTAGAAGAAGAGGGGATTGGATTTATTACCCTGCCCTTCACTACCCAAGGGAGTCTCAGAGTGGCTTACAGACTCCTTTCCCTCCCCACAACAAGACACCCTGTGAGGTGGGTGGGGCTGAGAGAGCTCTTCACAGAGACTGCTCTTTTTCAAGGACAGCTCTGAGAGAACTTGTGACTGACCCAAGGTCACCCAGCTGGCTCCTTGTGGAGGAGTGGGGAACCAAACCCGGTTCTCCCAGGTTAGAGTCCGGGCTCCTAACCACTGCACCCAACGGGCTTTCCAGTGCTAGGTGGTCACACGTGGGTGTCCCTGAGGTCGAGGCTGATCCTCCACCTCTCCCCCGCCCCCCCCCCCCGTCTCTTTCCTCTGCAGTGTCCCTCAAGTGGCGGCTGCACTTTGAGTTTGTGACGGCCCGGGAGGCGGTGGAGCTGCAGGGGGCCTCCTCCTCCGGGGGCCAAGCGGAAGCCGTCAGCTGGACGGGGGTGGAGCAGGTGGAGGTGGACACCTTCAGCTGGGACCTGCCCATCAAAGTGCTGCCGACCAATCCCCTCCTGGCCTCCTACGTCTCCCAGTTCTCCCGCTGCAGCACCCTCACCATCTGACCCCCGGAGCCCCTCGGGGTGCCGTGCCGTCCCGTGCCGTCCGTCGGGGAGCCTCCCGTGGGCCCGAATGCTGGGTGGGCACTGGGCCGCTGAAGGCTCCTGGGGGGGGAAGGGCAGAGGGCCAGGAGGGGAGAGAGCGGGGAGCGGCCTCTTCAGCAGCTGTGCACGAGTCTCTCCCCCCCCCCCCGGGATGCCGTGTGCCCAGGAGGAAGAAGCTGGCGCTGTCTTCCCCGTGTGCCCCGGGGGGGGGAGGCTGGGCATCACTGCCTCTGCCCGGCACTCTTCGCAAGGGCCGCCTGAGGCTGGGGAGCAGAACCAAGAAGGCCCGTGTCTCTCCTGAGCCCTTTCTGGGTGTGTGTGTGTATGTGTGTGTGTGTCTCAATAAAATCTTGACCTGCGGCAGACTCTCCTTTGCATCTTGGGTGCAGGCCTTGCTCGGCCTGTGGGGAGGCTGGGGTGGGGGGGCTCTTGGCCTGCTGTCCTGCCCCCTCCCTTGGCTGCTGCCCCGCCTGTCTCCAGGGCCAGGCCCTCCTCCGGGTGGTGGGCTGGGGGCCGCAGAGGTGGGGCCTTCCTCCCAGACTCGCAGGCCAGAGTGGGCTTTGCGTGTCCAGTGTCCAGGTACGGCACCCCCCCTGCAGGTACCGCCCCGACGGCGACCCCCCCCCCGGCAGCAGGCCCCAGCAGAAGGGGGGGCTGAGATCCCTCCTTGGCAGCAGGAGGCTGGATTCGGGCTCGGGCCTGGGACGCCCCTCTGAGCGGGGGTCAAGCCAGCCTAAACGCAGTTGCCCCAGGTTCTCCGGGAGGGGGTTCCCCTTGAGCCCCTAATGACCCCCCCCAACAGCCCCTTCGGCTGGGGGAGAGACGCTGTCCTAGCGCTTTCGCTTGGCGCCTCAGCAGGAGGAGGCGGGGGGAGAAGTGGCCAGGTAGAGGGGCAGCTGGTAGTGGGTGGCTCTGCCGGGGGGGGTGGTGGCAGAGGTGGTGGGGGACTCTCTTATCCGTCCGGCTGCTTGTCGCGCCACTCTGGGCGATCTGCTGAGCCCCCTTCGTGTTCCAGGCCGTCCACACACGGCAGGCGCGGCTGAGCTTTCTGCTCCAGCGAGACCTCACACAGGTCCGGAAGTCGTAGTGAACTCGGCACCAGTGTGGGGGGGAGTCGACGGGGTGCAGCAGCCTGCGTGTGAGGGGAGGAGGAGAGGAGCTTCGTTGGGGAGAGGGAGGAGAAGGGGTGGGCCGAGGGCTCTCCCCTGTCCCTCTTCAGGCAGAGACTGCCTCCCCTCCAGAGCGTGGCGGGGACCCCAGCGCAGGGCCTTCCTGGACTTCCTTCGGGGCAGTGGTGCACGTCAGTGGCCTCCGGCCCGGTGCCATGGCAAGCCGCCCTACAGCTGTGCCTGCCTCCGGCTGGCCGAGCCGGGCGCCTGCCTCTATGGCCGGTGGGGTCTCTCCCGAGGGGCTCTCCAGGAGAGGAAGGGGTCAACACTGCAGACAAAAGTGGCTTTGAGGGTACGGTGAGCAGCGAGTGGGGCCGCCACGTGGGGCCCGGTGCCCTCGTCCTTTCCCCTGAGCCCTCCAAGAGCATCTCTGGCTGGTGGGGCCAAGACCCCCACCCCTGCCCTGCAGCTGGCCTCCACACTGCTTGCCAAGGAGGAGGGGGCTTGGGTCTGTCCTTCCCCATCACCCCCTCCACTCCTGTCGAGTTTTTCCAGAGGCTCCCGATGAAACCAGAAGTTATCCAACAGGTTTGAAAGCAACCGTAGAAGCACCAGCCAGTAAACCTTCCTGGGGTGGCCCCGGGTTCTCTGCTTGCCTGCGGGCAAGGGGCAGGCACTCTGCACGCACCCTGGAGCATTTTGAGCTACTACACTTTCCTCGCGCCCACAGAGGCTCTTTGGTATGAAGGATGGGAGGCCAGCCGAAGCCGGAGCCCAAGGATGAAAGCGCTCACAACCTCACCCTCTCGTTGGGTGTCCAGATGCCTGATGGCAGCCGGTGAATTTCAGCCAGGCATCCTCATGCACGTGAGGGGGCGGGCAGGGTGGCCCCGTCCCGGAGGTGGTCATTCTGGCCGCCAGGGCAGGGCCAGGCAAGCGGCCTTGCTCTCCCCCCTCTCAGGCGTGGGCCGAGGTGCCACGGCTCCGCTTTGCACGCGGAGGAAGTCCCTGGATCAGTCCCCAGCATCTCCGCGGCCGAAAGGAGCCGAGACCCCGGGGAGCGGCTGCCAGTCAGAGGAGGCCCTCCTGACCGCGATGGACTGAGGGACTGGCCCTCGCTAGGTGGGGGCTTCCTTTGTTCCTGTCTCCCCCAGGTGGCTTCCTGGACTGTGAGCAGGTGACTGAGGACCCCCCCCCCCCATGGATGCTGGTTTCCATGGCCTCTCCCCCTCCCCCGCAACACACATGCCGCAGCAGCCCACTCCGAAGGGGCGGAGGCAGAAGCACTTCAGGCACCAGGCGTCACTCCAGGCCTCCCTGGGGGGCCAAACACATCCCTTCGTGGAGGCAGGGAGCTGGGTGGAGGGGGGGGGGAGAGCTGTCAGGAGGGAAGCGAGGCCTGGGCAGGGGCCCCCTCTCCCGTGCGCCCCCACCCTTGGCTCTGCCGGCTGCTTTCTCAGCCAGCAACTGGGTTCCCTCTCAGCTGAGTCCGTGTGAGCAGGCTCACCGTTTGTTAGCCTCCGGCTCACACATTTTTGTCTCGGCTCAGGAAGGGATGGGGCTCCAGAGCAGACTCGTTGATGCAGCAGCCAAATCGCTCGCTCACAACTTTAAGGCCAGGAGCTCACAAAGTGGGATTTATGCCCACGAGACTCCACTGCTGAGCGGGAACACTGGCCAGCAGCCTGCAAAGCCATCAGGTGGGGCCACCACTGTCCACCCCCCCACCCCCCGGAAAGCTCCAGGCCCCTCACTCACCCTGTGCCTGGAAGAAGCAGGTCCCCTGGGTCCCTGCAAGGCGGGCCAGGAGAAGGAGCAGCAAACAGGCCTGGTGGTCGGCCCTCCGCCCCACCTGGCGCCCCTCTGCCTGACGGTAGTTGCAGATAGAAGCAGCAGGATACTTGTGGGAGAGTATATACAGTTTATTTACAGAGCTATATATAAATACATACACGCAGCTTTGCAGCAGTTCACAGGTCTGACTGACAAAGTGCTTCGCTGAATATCCAATCATTAGGCAGGGTGCTTGGTCAAGAACCTTTCTCAATATATACATCAGTTGACCAATCACTGTTCAGCACTGTACAACTGCTTAGTCATTCTGACTCTGGCAGATATGATGCAACCTCAGTCATCATGTGACTATGTGACTGTCACCTTAGATCATCTGGATCTAACAGCAAGACATGACATGCTGTCATCTTGCCTATACCAACACGCCTCCCAAGATACAGCAAGTCATTGCAAACCTTTCACTTGGCAAATTCTTAGTGAATACATCAGCTATGTTTTCATCACTTGTACATTGTACCAGTTGTATCACACCACGACATATTGCGTCTTTGACATTTTGGTACCTTATCAGTATGTGCTTACTCCTAGTATGCACTCCCTGATTGTTTGCTAGTTGCCTAGCAGCAGAACTGTCACAGCATATTGACATTGGCAATTTACACTGTACATCAAAATCAAGCAGTAGTTGATGAAACCATTCCATTTGGGTAATACACATGCTTACTGCCGAAAATTCTGCTTCACACGTGCTTGTCGAAACCAACGTCTGCTTTATAGATTTCCAAGCTATCAAAGCTCCATACATGAATATTGCAAAACCTGAAGTAGACCTGCCATCCGGCCTCTCCCCCCAGCTGGCATCACTGTAAGCCAGTAGTTCTGTTTCATTATTTACATTCAGAACAAGTTTTTTATTCACAGTACCTTTTAGATACCTCAACACTCTTTTGGCTGCTTTCCAGTCCCCCTCAGTTGGACTAGAACACTTCTGTGTCACCCAGTGTACTGCTATGCAGATATCAGGCCTGGAGGAACATGCTAGATACAACAATGATCCAACAAGTGACTGATACAGTTCTTTCTGCTCAAACATTTTGTCACTACTTTCTTTGCAATAGCTTGTAGTCATAGGAGTATCAACACACTTAGCTTCAGTCATGTTATACTTCTCCAACAGTTGTGTAATTTTATCCTCTTGACTTAACACAAAAAATCCTTGATCATTTTTGGAGATATTTACACCCAAATAGTTTTGTATTTGTCCCAGGTCTTTCACTTTAAATTGTTTTGACATTGTTT